ATGTTTCACATTTTTCATGTTTATTCCGTGCAGATGGCTCCATTTTGAACATCCAGAATTTGTTTTGACTTTGTGACTATAGCTTGTAAACAGAGCGTTGGCTGGCGTCTGTAGCGAGTATAGGTAGCTTTTTGTATTTGATCTAAAATTGAGTGAGCCTGTAGCCAAACCATTAGTCAGTCAAAATAATGTTGCAAGCTGGTTAAAGGCAACGTATCCAAGCCAAGAGGGAAGCCTGAATTAGAGGCGGTAGCGCTGTCCATAAATTGACAAAGTGAAGCGCTAGCGGAGTTTCACTGACACAGCTACTTCAGCCAGGCTCTAAATGTGCCTTTGCAAATCAAGGCATCTCACCCTGAAACGTTTCGAACTGAGTCACACAGAAGTTCTGTTCTACGAACGTGTTGATTCGAATAAGGCGGGGGGAATGCATAGATACACATATATTTATAACTCCAGATGCAGAAAACTCAGTGGCGTCGCTATTAAGCATGAAAACACTGGTGCTGATTCTTGTCGCTGTGTATTATGTGTATGGAAATGATTTTCAAGGACAAATGAATACCAAAATTGTACAGTTCTGTATTTTTTGTCGTTTCCACTCCTAAATCTTGCAGATGAGACTTTAGGGTTATTTGTCCTGCTGTCAGTATTTAAAAATGTTTCAGCTGTTTTCTATATATTAGTTAACAGAAAATGACACCCATGTGATTTGTTATTTGAGAGTACAGTCGAGCCATCTTTTGCTTTGAAAAGTTCCCTGTGCCTTTGTCTTCTCTAGTTGAAGTAATTAAGTTGAAGGATAAGTAGACAGACTATGTTCAAAGGCCTCTGCTTTATTTTGTTAGACCTAATTATTCCAAACAATAAAAAATACTTTTCTGTAACTCCTCCCTTAGCCAATCAGTATATCTGTGCTTTCTGCTTAGCTGCGGGTTCAGTTCTGCCTGCACATTACTCAGGTCTATCACCTTGCTGGAGAAATACATGATTTGTAAATTTGAAAGAATTCCCCAACAGCTACCATAAAATTAAGCTGTTAAAGAGCTCTTGGAGCTTGTTTAAATGTAGACCTAAACAAACCTCTTTGCTGTTTAGCTCAAGATAAATCTTTTTAAAAGTCCTGTTCTAAATCACTTCCCAATTTTAATGAGTTTATATATCAGCCTTTGCCAGATTTTTACTGTAGCTATTCTCCAAGATTACAGCCATGATAAAGTAAAGACTAAAATTGTTTATTATATATTATTCTTCAGAAGCAAAACTTCTTCCCCCAGAGGCTGTTGGGAGAGCTATTGATTTTCTGCCACAATGTGAAAAGTGTGACCTTTATAATATGAGCAATGATTACAAAGCCAATAAAATGACATCATTCTGTTTAAACTTTAGAGTTCACAGGGCAAATAGCAGAATGTGCCACGTTTAATGATGTCCATGGATGATAAGTGTAGGTTGCCTGGCTTCAAGTGAGACTGAAATGTGAAGCAGGCAGGCTCCCCATCCCCAAAATATCTCATGTTTGTGCCAAGGATGGAGGAATGGGTGTGTACCAAATAGAGCTGTGTCTTTTCCTAGCTCTTAAGGCAACAAGTCAGTGATTTTCTGAGAGCAAACTTGTCTAAGTGTTTGCATCTACTGATGCCACTAACAAAATTCCTCCTGGTGATGGTACAGGATGAGCTGTTTGGGGCACAGCTGTACACATTGGTACAGATTTTCCCCAGTCCACTGCATGTGCATTTACAGGACTAAATTCAATTCCTGTAATACAGCTTTAGCCAATTCATTGCAGTTCCTCTAGAGCAGCTGAGGCAGCTCCATCCCAAACAGACGAAATATAACTGCACAGAGCATATTGATACTCTAATACGTGTGAAAACAAGGAACACAGAAAGCTTTAGTCAAACTTGGAGGGAGATACCACAACCTGATTGACTGAAATCGTTTCAAGAAGAAATCTGTGGAATTTTCCGCTCAAGTCGCATCAATCTGTTTCCCCACATTGTTTTCTTGTCTTCCTTCACTCATTTTTGATCCATTAGGACCTCCTTCAAGCAATTCCCTGTCTGTTCTCCAGCCTGTACCAAGCCAGATCACCAGCATGGACACCAGGGTAGCTGTGATTGCCCTGTACAGGCTGGACCAAGTCTGTGCTCAGTGTCTGGTCCAGCTGAACGTGGAGCCGAGCCCTTGCTGCTGAGAAAGCACAAGCAAAACAGCACAACACATTCAGGCCATCACAGAGGAAGGAATAGGGATAATTTTCTTTCCTATTTCTGGCTCATTGTGTAATATCAATAATCTCTGTAGCTTTGTATTATACTTGCCATAAGTGGCTCTAGTGATTGATTAAACACCTTAGCTTTTCTTTGGCATTTAATCAATTGCAGCAGCAGTTTATTGCTTGGTGTATTACAAAGTAAAAGAGATTATTACTTAATTATTCTGAAAAATAGCAGCCTGCAGTTGTTGCTAACACGGGTGTGTGTCTGCGCTGACACTGGTGTCACATCATCCTTCCCTTTGTGCCTCCTGGTCTCTGTGCTGGGTGAGAGCGTGCGACCCCCGGTGGGTCACGCGCAGCCGCCCCCGCAGCCACGCAGCACAGGGCAATTAGCCACCTTCAGTAAATAATTGCTTACAGTGAGGCTTCCCACAGTGCAAAGAGCCTGATCCTGTTGTTTGCTGGGTACCTCCAAACCTCACTGAAATTTTAGGCAGTGTCCTTATTAAGCAGCCCACGTGAATATGAATTCACTGTCAGCTGCAAACCCTTTCTGGAAAAAATTCAGCAAGAATTACATGGGTGCCAGGAGGCACTTTGATAGCCCAGGGTGCAGCACCAGATGTGTGCACAACTGGAGATACATCAGATACAGAGCACGTTATCAATATGTCAGTGTGAGCAAGGAAAGAAGAAAAAAAAAACTTGTGACATCCTCTTGAGGGTCTAGGAAATGGCAGCTCTTCTCTCTTGACTCCTGAGGTTTTCTGCCTGGAGCACAAATTTGAAATTGTATGCAAGAGTTCAGGAGGAATCTTATGGTGTGATAAAGCGTAAGGAGTCAGGGTAGCCCACACATCTGTGCATGTAGGGGCACCACGGGCAGTGTGACCAGTGTGTGGTCTTGTCCATCTGCTTGTGCAGTAGCATCTAACCAACCTGTATTCCCGTGCAAATGGATAATCCAATATTTAGAATTAAAACAATAGGTTTTAGTTCCTTGCTTTGCCCCTGACTTTCTCTGTGATCATAGGCAAGGGATTTTGTCTCCTTGTGCCTCAGTTTCCTTTTGTGAGTGGAAGGAACCTTTGTTCACTACCTTGGAGAAGCATCTGTAATTAAGGACAGCTAGCTGCTCCTCCATTGTGGTAGTAGACACCATCTAAATAATTTCAGTAAAAAAATGAAACCTCTGTAAAGCTTCAAACCTGCAAAGATTTCTGTAAATTAAAACTTTGTCCTTGAATTGAAAAGAGCTAGTCAATGCAAGACCAGTGACAAAGCATTCACTGCCAATTTTAAGCATTTCCCCAAATTATTTTAGGGGTTATGGGTGTGGGTGGGGTGGGATGTCTCAAGGGAAGAAGACTGAACTTGTTCTGTTGTCTGTTTTTTCCTCCGTTGCGGTAGCAGAGGTTTGACCATCACCTGTCTAGGCAGCTTTGTGAATCAAAGGGGTTGGTAGTGCTCTTGCTCAGGCTTCAGGTGGCGTTGCCTGTGAACAGTGGTGCTTTGGGCAGTCCGTGTGAGTCACGCAGCATTGTACGCCGGGTCTGTGTCCATTGTGCAGTGGCTTTTGCAAGTACTCCAGCAGAATTGGAGCGAGCAGACGTTGACTGTCCAGTGACTAGGAGAAGTTCATGTTTCTTTGAGAAGGTGCTGGATGGTCCTAACCATTAAAAGAGTTTATTTTCTTACTCCAACAGATTTTCCCCTCCCCACCTTGATGTTACCAAATTTATCATCACTTTTGTCTTTCAGGTGTAACCTGCCTTTAGTGTTGCAGACACATCAGCCAACCATGCATTAAGAACTGGGCCCTTACTTTAATTCAGTATGATTTTCTTTTTGTCCAATAATTCACAAGCACTAATCCACACTTCAAATGCAGGAGATACTTTGATCCCCAAATTGTTCAGCACTTCACGCAGGAAAAACCGTAGGCCACAGTCACGAAACTCCCAGAGGATGGCTGCTGGCTTCCTGTGGCAGAGCTGGTTGTTGTTTTCCCCCCTCTCCCTTCTTTGCTCTAACCATTTTGTCTGTCTATCTTGTCTTGTATTCAGTTTTCAAAGCAATTGCCATGAAGGGCTTCCTTTTTTTAGTGCCTAAAAGGGAACAATAGATTTTTAGAATAAGCGCATATATTTTTATATGACCATCTGTATATGCATATCATATCTATCATAGCTGTACTTCAATATAGCATACTGAGAAGTTCAAGCTAAGCAGAAATTAATATTTATTATTGTTATTTTTTATGAAAAGGTCTTTAAATGTATCCTTAAATGCACATGACATTTAAAATTATTCCAGTGCTGGTTTCCTGAAAAAGTAGATGACCTTTTCTCTTGAAATTGGAGAGTGTTTTTTTCTTAACAGTTACATTATGCACAGAAGATGAGATGTTAACCAAGATGTTAAAATGTATTGTTTCCCTTTGAAAGCTAATCCTGTTCCTCATTTTCATTAATGTTGGCTCGTTCATTTTTCTTTTTCTTTCTTTTCCTTTTCTTTTGCAATTGTTTTTGCATGAAAATGCAGAGTAGCAATAAACAGATTTTTCGTAAGACTTGCTTTAAGACTCTTCTCTTTCAGATCCAGTTAAAGTTTTTAAGTTCAGTTATTTTAAAATTCATATTCTTCAGTTCCGTAAACAAAAATAATGGAGAAATATAATGAGGTGCAAAGCGATTTTCTAGCCCTCACTAATCAATAAATGCCAACAAAATGGGGATGGTGTAATGTCCATAATTTAATTGTCTGCTGTTACCAGGTCACCACGAGACAATAGCAGAAGCGGGGAGAAGCTGGAATTGGCCATGTCCAACCTCACTGCAGATGTCCTGGAATTACTCCTGGAGTTTGTTTATACAGGTTCTTTGATCATAGACTCAGCCAATGCAAAAACCCTACTGGAAGCTGCCAGCAAGTTCCAGTTCCATACTTTCTGTAAAGTCTGCGTTTCCTTTCTAGGTAAGAATCATTCCATCTAGCGAGGTTTTAAGATCTCATTGTAAGTTTTGTAAGCCTTCTAGCAACTCTTAAAAGATAATTACGAAATCCAAGATGAAATATAGTAACTGAAAAAAAAAAAATCAACGGTACTTTTTTGGGTTGAGATTTGATTTTAAAATGCTGACATGGTGGCCAGTAGAAAATGACCTAGAGAAATGTAGCCTGTTGTCTGAATGGCAGCTGCTTTCTTGGATAGACTTTTTCCTTGAATCTTGGTTCATGCTTGGTATGATGGCTTTTTGTTTGCTGGAGGTTGATCACTGCACAGATGTTAGGCTGTGACACACAGGTTGATGCAACTACGACAGAAAATGTTGGGTGCTGCAACAGGCCAGCTTGGTCAATCACTGAAAGAGCTGCAGGTCTGGAGCACCATGTCATCCTGCTCCTTGCATTTCCCAATATGGACTATTTCAAAACAGTCCAAGGTCACCAGCTCAGTTAACTAAGCTTTACTGTTCTGAACTGGAACCATTCAGCTCCATTTCTGTCATGGCAAAAGAGGAGTCAAAGCTGGAGCTCAAATGAAAACATGTGTTGGTCAGATTCCTGCCTGTATCACATGCCTCTCGTTCACTAGCATGGCTATAATATCAGTTAATGAGACAGTAATAATTTATAAATTATTAACACGTTATTAATGCAAAAGTGTCAGCTTAGTCTTATATGATTTACTTTGATGGGGACAATTTTAGCAGGGCCTGTAGTAACAGGACAAGGGGCCGTGGTTTTAAACTAAAAGATGGTAGATTAAAATCAGATATGAGGAGGAAATGTTTTGCAGTGAGGGTGGTGAGACAGTGGCACAGGTTTCCCAGAGATGTGATAGAAGCCCCATCCCTGGAAACATTCCAGATCAGGTTGGATGGGGCTCTGAGCAACCTGCTGCAGCTGAAGATGTCCCTGCTCTGTTCAGGGGGGCTTGGACTAGATGACCTTTAAAGGTCCTTTCCAACACAAGCCATTCTATGAATCTCTTATTTCCCATGTCCAAATTCCAAATATCTTTTTTGGACATCTGATTTCTATACAGGCTCTCTTGATTGGTATGGGAGATGTCGTTCTCTCTGAACTCCAAATATATCTTCAACCCACATGAACTGTATGTTCTTGGGCAATTACCATTTAAAATTGACATCTAGAATTACAGAGTGTGGAAGGTGAGAGTTTAGAAAAAACCCTCAAATGAGTCCAGTTTACTGCTGTGTTAATTGTCACTGCTGACCTGCTGGCAAGATGAGTGGCGTGACCAGGCTGGTCAGTAAAAAATCTGTGGTATTGTATACTTGCCTTCTTTCTGGCTTTTTATATGTCACTTGTTTAAAAATCTGTTCTCAAATGGGTGGGTAATGGGGAAGTGAAATCTATGCTTTGCAATCCCACTCTGTTTGCTGTGCAGCTTGAGTGAGGGCTTTGGCTCTGGCACTTCTTTCCCCCAGCTTCCCTTCATCCCTTTTTAAAGTAACTAGATCTTATGGCCTTTCCAGGAACAAGAGATGTGTGTAAGTTGCTCTGTCTCTAAAGATTCAGCCACAAAACCAAAATACATTTATTTCACTAAATCAATGTGAGATTTCTCTTTTCCGATAGTTAATATTTGAAATCAGTGAACCATGTTATGGTATGAAATAGTAGAGTTGGTTATAAGTTCAGTGATATATGGGGAGTCACTAGAATTTTGTATTCTCATTTGGAGGATTCATGGAGTGTAATTGCTTATTTTTATTTATAGCTGTGACTGGATTGCTCTGCAGAGATAGTAGAGCATTTGCCATCTAAAAAGCTAAGGGAAAGCTCTTTTTACTTCTCTAGAGTTTTTTTCTTTTCATCCCAGCCACCTCTGCTCCACACAGAGCAAAAATATGGTGAAAATCAGGGTTTTTTTCTAGGGTTTCTGGAGAATTCAGCAGAGTAAACAGTGATTCTTTCGCATCAGTGGCCATATCTAAATAGTGAGAGAAGTGGAGGGAAGTCCAAAGAGCCTCAAAGTATAAGTGCCAAATTAATAGGTCTGTTCAGCACAGCACATCTCAAGGGAAATTCAGGTCATCCTTTTTCAGGTGTGAAGCTCCAGCAGGAACCTAACTGTTTAACGTCCAGGCAGCTCTTGTGTCTTCTCTATCCTGGGCCTCTCAGCAGCTTTGGGCAGAGGCACCCCAAATCTTCTTGCACTCCCTGGTGGAAAGATGATGCAAATGTGTCAGGAAAACAGTTTCATTTTAACAGAAGATATCTTAACCAGCTTCACTGGGCTAATTATAGCCACGTTCTCTCTCTCCCCCACACGCTGCCTCCTCTGCCTTTGTCTAGACCATGAGAAATCACAACAGTTTTGTGCTGACTGATGGTGACAAGTTTGTGCAGGAGCCATAGGATAACTGGGCAAATGTTTGCCATCTGGTCAGGACATCGTAGGTATTTCCTCCATCCATATGGCTGAAGAATTGAGGGGTTTTGCTGGGGTTTTTCTCCCTCTTTTTACATATTGGTTTTATGCTGTCATCACAGTCATGGCTCAAATCGGATTTCAAGTAATCCATCAGTGTCACTCCGTCAGGTTCCTCCACCAGATTCCTCCATCAGATCCGTGATGGAGGAACTCCCATCACAGGAGTGAACAAATTCTGAGCTTGTACTTCAGCCTGATGATGATAAAAGTATTCTTCCTTAAGTCTAAAGAAGTCAGTGGAACCTGTTAGATTCACAGAGCAAAACGGGAAAGAACAGGAGGTCTGAATGTTGTTAAATCTCCTGAGCAAAGGGCACAAAAGCAATGGTTGAAAAGAGTATGAGAGGGAGCTATGAGAAAAACTGAACGATGGACCAGTGATGAGACCTGTATGTACCTGGCGGAAGAAGAAGCCTTTACAGTCCTTATGAATTTGAGAGATAGTATAGTGGGTAATTTTTTGTTCATTGTGGGCAGAGAATTTTGAGCCAGCTGAAGAACCAAGCTGGCCAGCACTGGAGAAACTGAAGCATCAGCCATATCTGGAGATACAAGAAATGAGGAGAACTCTCACAGAGGGGATGTGATACCTTTTGAGCAATGAATGCATCTGGAAGTCTTCCACCTATCTCCCATCTTCACATGCTTTTGATACTAGTCTAGCTGAGGAGTAAGATCCCCACCAGAATGTACACAAAGTACAAAGGGGAAACACACATTTTATGCTAATTTTAATGATATCCAAGTCATCATCTGGAAAGCATCTCCCAGTGAACATGCAGTAATTCATGCACACAGAGGGGACTGACATCAGCCACTGAGCTTCCATCATACTCTTACTGTAGTCTCACTGAGTAATCCTTCCTACATACCTTCCCCCTCTCTGACTTTATCTCAAGTCATCCCACTCTCAGAAGTGCCATCTTAGCAGTCTGGCTGGCTGATTGTCTCATGATGACTCTGCACAGGATCCCATTCCAAAATTATATCTAACCCAAGGGAGGAGTACCAGCTGCTGATCAGCAGTATTGTGACACACACAGAAACAAATATGCTTACCCAGTGCTGTCTGAAACCAGTGAGAACCTACCAGATTACACCTGATATACTCAAAGTCCACTCATAAGTCTGTTATGAACTGTCCTTGAGCACTGGAGGTCGTTTAGTAGTAATCAGTCATGTTCTGAACGAACTCAAGGTGACCCTCCATAAAAATGTGTTGTTAAAAGTCCAGTGGTACTGTGGCAAAACCAGTGATTCCTGTAAACATGTCAGCAGCCAAAGGGAAGCAGCCCAGGAGCAGGTGGAGCACAACTGGTCCTTCGCTCTCTTTGCCATGCCATGCCTCTAGCTTGCAGTCAGTTGGGATTGGCTATATTATATAGCAGAAGTCTAGAGCTACGTAGTCATGTAGACTCCATTAAGAGTAACAGCCATTGGTAAGGCACAGTTCTGCTTATCCTGAAGTCGTTTTCCAAAATACTAACAGATTAATCAAAAAAATTACCAGATTGGATTTTGGAATTGTTTGTTTATGAGTGTACAGAGGTACCAATGTGACACTCAGTTGCTCCATAGGCAGCTGGAGTCAAGAGAGATCAATCTTGCCCCCAGATTTTGAGCCAGAGATGAAAAATGGAGTGTGTGTTTTTTTCTGTTGACAGGACAGAGATCTTCCATACCTCCTATAGCTGTTGCCCCAACCTCTGTCTTGCTCACCTGCAGTGAATCCCTCTAGTTCACAGGCTAGCCTTCATCTTAAAAAGCAGTCACTGTGCCCACCTTGCTGTGGTGCTCATCTCTTCTATATAGAAGTCATGAGTGCAGAGAAGTGGTTCATTGCATCACTCTGCATCTCCCTGGGATCTCCTCCTCTCTAAATCACCTTACAATACTTGCTGAATCAGACAGGGATAACATTTGGGCCTGTCAGTGAGCAGTTTCTCAGGGAAGAGGAAGGAGTGAAACTCAAAGGAACAACGTGGAGCTGCTTGGACAGCAGTGTACCAGGCTGGGTCAGTCACCCAGCATTGTTAGAGGAAGGTAAACCTGTCCAGATCAGAAGAAACCAGTGGTGACCAGTGCTTTTTCTGCCCCATGCCACAGGCTCAGCTGGGGATGGTATGGGAATCTCTCCTGATAGAGGCAGACCCAGTTCCTTGAAGGCAAAGACTCATTCTGGCACATCTTCCCCGCGTGCTAGTAAACGGCTGCTTATTGAGTCAAACTTGATAATTACCTTTATTATAAACCCTGTGAGGATAAGGTGCAGCAGTGTCAGATTGGCCTTGGACTTGAGTTTGCCCAGCCATGATGAGAGTTTTGGGCTCTGTTAGATGATTGTTTTCCCCCCAGCTGTGTGTATACATGAAACTGTGCCAACAGGCAAAACCAAGGAACCTGGAAGAGGGTTTTCTTTTTGGTTTTTTGTTTTTTTTTCTGAAAAGAAGAAATTTGGGGAATCTTGTGCTTCATAGCTATCAGTTTGCAGCCTGTCTCTGGACAGTCTTTGAGTGACAAAATCTACTGACAGCAAACTGCTGCTGCTCCAGTCTGCTTGAGGAAGTGGGCTCCATGGAGTCAGTACAATCAACTGATGCAAAATGAGATAACCCAGTTTGGAGATTGCAGGATCTGTAAAAGAAAATAAAAAGAGCTTGGGAAAAACAAAACAGAACACAATGCAAAACTCTTAATCTATGTCAGGTTAAAAAAAGAAAATAGTAGGTCATAATCCCATTTTAATGAAACGAACATAGAGATAGTGTGCAGGTTTTAAATCTGATGAAGGCAGAAGGGTTTAGGGAAAAATCCCCAAGCATTTCCAGCAGAAGCAGTCTGCTGGGAGCTTTGTTTGGAGATGTGGGGCTATCAGACATTCCTGCCCAGTGCTCTGAAATAGGATGTGACACTGCCCAAACGTGATATACTTCTCTGACAGCACAGAAGCCTGCCACTCGTGATCTATTGCAGGCTGCCTCTCTCTTATTTTATTTTTGTTTCTCTTGGTCCTATATCTCAAAAGAATATATTCTGCCTGTTAGTAGCAGTTTGGTTAACAAAAGCTGAGAAGAATCTGAAAGTTCTTCTTATAAATGTCTGAGATTGGTGGGGTTTTCTTCAGAATAGATGAAGAGGAAAAAAGTACAGTCAAATGTATGGTGTAGCACACTTCTAAGGCAGAGCTGCGCGCTGTGCCGTTACTCCTGTTTGCTGGGTAGGAGATAATGCTGTCTCTGCTGTGTGTGATTCTCTTTGAAAACCACTACACAACATTTAACAGAAGGCGTTAGTATAATCTGTGTTTTGCATAAAGGATGTCATCACATTCAGCAGCAACAAAGTTCCTTTGAAAAAAAAAAGAAGGGGGAGGATTTTTTTTTTATTTGAAGTAGCTTAGTAGCTGAACAGGGCAAAAATTATCATAAAGCGACTGCAGCATCCTCAGAAATGTCCTTAGTGCTGTTTGCATTTATTCTTAAGTGTCTGCACTGGCGTTTACATCTTTGCTGTTTCTTGAAGCAACATTGTAGGCGGTGGAAATAGCAGCAGTCTCTTGGCTGGGTTCCCATCCCTTGGGAAGCCCCAGATACTGTTATGTCAGAGTAGGTTTCCCCCAGTGCCTTGTGAAGGTTTACACAAAATGCAGACTCAGAAGGTGCTTTTCTCTCCACATCCCCAGCTCAATTGTTAGACAGACTTTGATTTTTACACTTTAAAACCCAATGCTAAAGTAACCCTGGGTGCTGCTTCTAATTAGCTCCCTGAAATTAATTAAGGTTGGAGATTTGTCTGTGGCACTTCATTTTTTCACAATCTCGGTAAAAATGTGAATCTTGCTTTTCAATAATTCTCACTTGGTTTTTATTTTCTTTGCTCCTTTTAGAAAAACAGCTGACTGCTAGCAACTGCTTAGGAATATTAGCCATGGCTGAAGCCATGCAGTGCACTGAACTATACAACATGGCCAAAGCATATGCCCTACAAATTTTCCCAGAAGTGGCAAACCAAGAAGAGATCCTTAATATCTCAAAAGACGACTTCATTTCCTACATGTCCAATGACAGCCTGAACACCAAAGCGGAGGAGCTGGTGTATGAAACAGTGATAAAGTGGATTAAGAAGGACGCTGCAATTAGAGCTCAGGTAAAAATAATCTCAGTAGCCTCACTCTGCTCCATTCTCATGAATGCCTCTTTTAAAATAGAAACCATCCCCATGCAATTTTAAACATGAGGGTGCATAGAAAATGGGATGGGCAGTTTAGATGAAAAAAGGGAAAGGGAATGCAGGCTACGCACATAACGCATGTAATTCCAAAATCTGATCCCCATATCTGATCATTTAGAATCAAAACCTTGTTTGTGACACAAATGGTACAAAGCTAGGACCTCAAGTGGTTGGCTGAAGGCTCAGTCAGAGATCAATTGGGAAGGATTAGAGTTGTGTGAGATGCTGCTTTAAGAATGGGATGTGTTTTAGTAACAGTGGGAAATAAAAATCTGTCAGAAAATCTGCTTCTCTTTTGATGCCACAGACTGAATGAGTGTAACTTCAGTACATGAAAGAAAAGGTTCTGTATCTTTACTGGCTGCTTAGATAACCCCTTGGCTATTATAAATTTATTAGAGTTGGCCTTTCCTCAACCATCTGAGCGCCCTCTTGGATCACCTCCTCCATGTGCCAGTGATGCCATTTAGTGTTGCCCCATATTCTTACTGCCTGGAACATTTACACACTATCATTCATTTATTGAAATGGCCCTTTTCTGGCTCTCACTGGCCTTGAAAAACACACCAGTTTACATGGTATTTCCCTGCTTGCTTCGAGTTTGATGACAGCAGTCAGCTCTGTGCAGCTCTGAGCTCTGAACCTGCTGGGACCTTGGGGATTATTCCCAGCGGCTGGAGGACGGGAGCCCTGCGGCAGGAGCCTGTTTGCCTGGTGCAAACAGGAGGTGACACTCAACAGGAGGTCTGGGTTAGGCCTTCAAAATTGGTGGTTTAAATATTTCCTTCTGTGCCCTGCTGCGGTGATGTTATGAATTTATCTTTTTAAGTGGTGGTTTTTCTTGCACCCCTCTCGCTGCTGCCACCACCGACAACCGTCTCCTCCTCTCTTTCGTGTTGCAGTTGGGTTGATTTTCTGTTGGGTTTTTTTTATTTCCAAGTTACCTTTGCCTCTGCCCTGCTTCTGCAGGGACTGCCTTTGTAGTTTACAGTGGCAGTTTTATCTGCTTCTCCAAATTTCTCTGTGGTGCTTTGGTTTCATGAATTACGTTACAAGGGCTTTTAATTTTTAATTTGTATTTATCCAGAGATGAGGGTCTTGAATAAATTAATATTAAAGATATCAAGCAGATAACTATTTTCATGCCCAATCCTACCACTAAACTAGTTTCTTTGGATAGTATCTCTCACTTTTTTTTTTGTACTCTCTGCACTACTTGATCTATTAGAAAGCTCTTAGTTAAATAGGCACTTATTTTCTAAAAGTAGGAACATATACTTGACATGAAAAGTACCATCTTTACAATAATGACTTCAGCATTTGCAGAGCCCAGGAACAAATAGCTCTGATGGTGAATAGGAAGGAAGATAGACCTAAATAGTCTTATTTCTGATAAAGATGATGAGTGAAAATTTGTGCTTGGTGTGCGTCAAGACCCACCACGCGAGGAAGTGCCCGAGCTCCCATGAGATGCACAGGCTGCACTGGGTGACCTTGGCAATGCCAAACACAGGGTGGGCCTTCGTGCAGGACACACGCAGGGATATTTTGACTTCATTCACAAATGAGTGAGATGGATTCTCTCAGCTCTCTTTAGACTTTTTGGGATGGGGAGCTAGCACGTGAAGGACACTAGTGCGGCAACAGGATTCTTGCTTCTGTGCCCAGCCAGTGGGATCTGTTGGCAGATTGCTTGACAGTATAACCATGAATTGCAACAGCCCCAGGACATCACTCCTGCTCTACTACGCTCCCCAGGTCATCAGTCTGGGTCTATTTCTCACTCACAAAGGCAATCCTGACAGTTAAATCTGTCAGGTTCTGGATTTCCAGGGCTTGGACTTTCTTTGTACCTCCCCTCACCCCGTCCCCTTTTCCCTGGCAGGCCAAGCTCTATGTTCACATTTTTACTTTCAATAGCTCCAATGGCAGGTGATTAAAATGCTTCCTTGGCAGCTTCTTCCAAGCAGTGAATTGGTGATGCTCCCAAAGGTGGGTGTCTGGCACAAACAGGGAAAGGTCTGTGCTCTTCATCTCACCTGCCTGTCCATCTTCCCTGGCAAAGCCTGGCAGGGGCTTGCTCAGCAGAGACATCCCTGCAGAGGAGCTTATAGAAGAAGCCTTCTTTCTAACTCAGCACCCTCTGCCCCCAGGGCACCTGCAGCCCTTCAAACCTCCTTGTGTTTTAATGGCTTTGTGTCACTCTGGACTGCAAGCTTATGCCTGGGGACAGTAAATCTCACCACTTGTGTTCCTCCAACCGCAGATCCTTGTGCTGCACTCTTAAAACAACTTACCCATCACTGCCTTCCTTCCTGTCCAGAGACCCTTCTGAGAGCCTCTGGGAAGGAGATTTTCAAGAGAGCCTCCCGTTCGCCTGGAAAGGGATTGAGTTTGCTATCTCCCTGTTCTTCTTTGCCTTTCTAGAAGCTCTTCTTTGGGTATCTAATTGTTTCTGTGTTTGTTAATTCCTTCCCCACCAGGCTGGAGAGCAGTGGCAGGGAAGGAACCAGGATTTGCTTGCAAGGCAGGTGGAAAAGCTGTGCTCTGGCAAACTTGTAATTTTGCAAATTGTGCTTATACGAAATCTTACAGTGCTTATAAATGTGCTCTGTGGCATTACATAAAACAACATCTGAGCCTTGTTACAAAGAGGGAAGAACAGTGCTTTAAAGGTTAGTGATCCATCTATGTAAGGCAGAAAGGCAGTTCAGATAATGACGTGTCTTAAGCTAGGATTTGGTAAATAACTGTATGCAGTGAGGGAGAGCAGCACACCAGCTCATATGGTAATGTTTGTGGAGCTATTTCAGTGCTGCTGGTAGTGCAGTCATGTAAAACTGGCCTAGCCAAAACAAGCAACCTGGGATGTGAGGTCTGGACTAGGCAGGTAATTTCCTGTACCAGCAGATGCAGAGTGCTGGTTGTAGGAGTCCTCTGGATTGCTTGTCAGTGAATGGAAAGCCTGCAGCTGACTGACACATCTGGAAGAGCTGACTCAAAGGGGTTTTTTTCTATTTATTTCTCTTCCTGACTGATGGACAAGATTGTAGGGTTTATCCTAACAGTTATCCCCTTGATAAGTTTATTACAACTCTGGCAAACTCATGCAAAAAATATATTGTATAATGGAGGCTTTACTGTCTGGAAACCAGCGTGGTCTGAGCCGGCCGAACAAGCAGAGACTTCTACCAGGCCCCAAGCAGTCTTCACCTGAACTCATCCTCCAGCCCTTTGCGTGACCTTAAGCAGAGTTTTTCACCTTTTTTGCTCCCATTTTTTATGCTGTAAGCTGAAGGGGAGCAATGCCTCTCTTCCCTCTCACCCTGAGGAGGGACAAGAAGGGAGGAAAGGACAAACATTTCAACAAGTTGCCAGGAGTAGTGCCGAAATTGAAGCAGATATTGCAGTGATGAGTGACAGCTGAAAAGCTCAGCTGAATGGCACTCACCTTTTGTTGCATTCTGAGGAGATACACTCGTGTGCCCTTTTTTCAAGCCCTGTTCAAAATCAGTGTCCAGCAGCAAGATGAAATGTCTCCACCGTGAAGGCATTAATAAGCCTTCTATGAACTTGTGTCCTCAGAGGCAGATTTGTCTAAACAGCATCTGAGAACCAGAGATGCATAGACAAATTGGATGTAATTTAGAGAAGAGCAACACAAATGATTAAAGGGATGAAGGAACTGATGTGAGAAAAAAAAGATTAAAAGATGTGAATATGCATGAGTGGGCCTAATGACAGCTAAAGAGGGATAAACGTCTACAAGTGTTTGAAGCCCCAAGGAAGGGAGTTGCCTGGAAGGATATAAGGGGTGTAACAACAGTAAGGACCAAAGGGATAAATTTGAGACTTGGCAAAATTAGTCTAGCAAACACAAAGCCCACCTGAAAGCCCTATACCTGTCAGTGAGGGTAAGGAACAATGACAGAGAGAAGGAGAAGAAGATTTATGTCAAAAATGCTACAAATGCCCATAAGCTATATTTCGGTTGTGACAAAGAATGGCAGTTCAGAGGCAAGATCCTACAGAGGAGAAAGGGTTGGTTAACAGTGAGACAGCAGATGGAAGATCCCCGGTCTGCAGTTAGGCTGTTGAGATTATAGCAAAATTTCTCATCCACATTTTAGAGAGTCTCCAAAGTTATGCAGAAGAGCGACTTGCTCCAAAAAATTGAGAATCTGACAGGGAACAAGCACAATCCTGACTCTGCTCTGTGGTGACAAGGAGGTAATGATAGATTCAGAAGCTGATACCCAATACCAGCATGGGCAAATTACTTACGTTCATCATAATTGGAAACTAATTAATCAATCAATGTACTTAAGGTCATCAAGCTTCAGGAAAGTAGTGTTGGAATAAGTATGAAAAGAAGGCTTCCAAGGGAGCCCAAGTGAATTAGGCACTAACACTCCATTACAGTTCAATTAGGCTTCTTTGAAAAGCCCAGACTACCCAACGCTTTGAAATCCATTTGTGGGAAGAGCAGACAAATTCAAAAAGATGCCATAATGAAAGTGCAAGAAGCTGCAATTTCTCCACAAGTGCAAAACGCGAGGGATGAGCAGTAACCCCTGTGATTTCCCAGGGACCGGCTGCTCAAAGAGCTCTGCTTTAAATGAGGCTTTTGCAGACACACTCAGAGCTTGTACAGGCTTACGGGAGGAGAAGAAAAGGCAGCAGCAGGAACAGGATCAGTGCAGGAACATGCCCTTAGCTATATACTGGAGGAAGAAACTGTATTAAATAAAAAGAAAAGAGGATGCAGGTGACATTAGCAGTTCCTTAAATTCCCTCTGTACTAAACTTTATTTCTAAGGGATATACCCTTGACTGAAAATCTACTGAATTACTTCTCCAAAGTTTAAATTGGTTTGAGGAGCTCCTTTGTCTCACTGTCTTCTCAGTCTCTTCGTTTGTGGCTTTTCTAACACATTTTTCTATTTTTCACAAAATATTTCTCTGCTGTTGCTGAAGCAACGGCCTGACAAAGACATCCACGAGTAGCTCCTCACACAGGCTCACTGGCATTATCTCATGCTGTATATGGCCCCAGTGCTCAGGACGAACCTCCGGAAACAAAGTCATTTCACACCATAGGCAAGAAGCACGTTGGAGAATTATTGCACATGGATTTGTGTGTCAGCCTGTTGTAGAGATGGATATATCTGGAGTTTACTTGGTTCTGTGAAGCATCTTAGAAGCTTCAGCCATTTTGTTGTTGCAGCATGCTTTTGTGGTGCATCTGCGTCCGTGTGGGTGTTCGAATAGGTGACTGCCCATAAATAAAAGAAATTCTGCTCACCTCTTTGATAACCTCTGGGAGAACTTAGGGGGCTCCTGTGGTAGAGTTTAGTCAGCGAGCTGGGGATTGCGTGGTAAGAGTGAAGTCTTTTTAAGCCTTAGTATCAGGTAAATTGCAGGTCTGACAGATCCATGCCTGATCTTCCTGCATATTTAAAAGCTCTCCTATTACTGCTAGAAATACCTCCCCATGTGCTGCTCTGCAAACAGTTCGGAGAAGAGGACAGCAGATCGCTTTACGCGGCGCTGATGACATTACAGTGTTTAGTCAGCTGTACTGCCATAAACATGTCACGTTGAAACCTTATTTCAGGAAGACAGAGGGGCTGCTCTTTCCTTCTTGCTAGGCATGAGATTTATGCATGTGGCATCCTGCCACCGAGCCACCAGCTGAACCCAGCGCCTGCGAACCAGATTTTCTGCCACGTGTTTAGCTCATGATATTATGAGGCTGTCGGCTGACATCCTACCAAGCCTTTTGGTTTAATCTAAAGGCAGCATTGTAATTCCAAGAAGTCAGTATGGGTGATTAATAAATACACCAAGCACAGCAGAGAGCTTAGGTTGGGCTTGGATACGACCTTGAGCGTAGGAATGTGCAGGAGGTTACTGGAAACATAACATGCCTTTGTAATACCCAGGGGTTAGATGTATCAAAGCAAGTACCCTCATTACCAAGTAGCCGGGCAGCGCTGTAAAAATCTAGCCAAAAAAGGCATATTTCTGAGAATGGCAAAGCACTGCACCAGCAGCTTTGGCTTCCCCAAACCAGCCAGTTCCCGGCTGGGCTTGCGCTTAGAAGCTTGGAGCTGGCAATATTTTGAATATCAGTTTGGGTAATCTGTTGGGGAAGTCTGGGCTGGGTGTGGTTGCAGGAAAGGGCCATTTACTTCACCTCTCCAGCACACCTCCTGGCATGGCCACCACGCTGCATCCCCAGCCACCACTGTCAGCACAGCCCTGGGCCCTTCGTTACCTGGCCGCAGGGTGGTCTCCCTTGCCCGATACAGAATGATATTATCACTAATGGGCAGACCAGCAGCCAAACTCCTCCCTCCGCTACCAGGTCATACACCAGAGATCCCCAGTGCCAGACAGATGGAGGGAGGACCAAGTCAATGCACTCACTCACAGCATATTGTGTGAAGAAGGAGCAAACTGACTCAGGAACCATGCCCAAATCAGCCAGGCGGTGAGTCCAGTTATGTAGTAGTTCCCCAGAGGCAGACTCATGATGTTGCCCCACCATCCCGAGACCTGCACGTGCTATGAACATTCAGGGAGGCTTTTCAATAACCAGAACCCACACAGCACATCCACTATGCAAGCAATACTCCCAACCCCAGCACAGGCAGTCAGCTCTTAGAGAAGTGGCTTCTTGCCCCACCCCCAAGTTAGTGTGGAAGGTGGGGGCACCTGGTGGTGATCAGTTCCCACAGCCAGACCTTGGGTGAAAACCAGTCAGGAGGGTCTTTCTTGCATGGTTGTGGACATCATCCATATGCCAACCCTCATTCAGGGCTGGGGGTTTAAACTTAAAGTAGGCATTAAGAGCTTAGCATCTGCTACTTAAGGGAGCTTGGGTGGTGGTTTTTAATTTTCTTGTCATTTGAAGGAGTTTTGTGCAGTGGCAACTGATTCTACTTCACATCTGTCCCTGATGGCTTCTTCCATCTGAGGAGATCTGTGCTGCAGCTCTCAGATCAGGCCAGTGCAAGACATGGGGCAAGTCTGAACTCAGGATTTATGTGAGATGATATAAATCTCCTTCGTAACTCTCAGATGAATCAAACATATTCATACTTCATAATGTTTTTAAAAACTCTACTGGAATTATGCATAGAGAGCTGAAACAGCAGTTTGTTGGAGCAAAACCCTATCGTAATGTGGATAATCTAACTTCTGTATTTGTATTTCTAGCTGAAGCCTGTTTCTTTAGGCAGATAGCACAAAGGGTCCTTTGTAGGAAGAACAGTAAACTAGAGAGACAGATGAGTTCTAAAGCATAAGGGAAACATTATTTTAACCTCTCTGGGCAATACTTCAAAAATGTTAAAAATCTTCAGAGCTTTCCAGTGTAGCATTTAAGGAGCTGGAAATTTGACTCTGTAGCAGTAAACATATTTCCTTTTAGAACTGTATACTGTTGTAGCCTAAGTCTGTGCAGGAGCACACTGAGCGTCCTTTTGGAGAATACCTGTGAGGATTTTACTGGATTAGAGATTTAAGAATAAAAAGATTATTTTTAATGTGATACTGAAGAGGGTTTTGTAGCTGAGACTTAGAAGATATCAGAACAAAGCCCACTTGCAGGCAAGCATTCATAATACTGATATAATTAGTAGGAGAAGAAATGTCACAAAAAGTTTAGCAAAGTAAATGTCTTACTTAAACTACCAGCCAGGAACAAATAAAAGCAGCGTTCAACCATTCTGTAATCTAGTTTGCTCAAGCTCTGGCCTGCCTACTGAGATGGAAGTTACTTATGCATGAACAGATCATTAGGGAAAGTCTTGACAGGGTCAGCTTCAAGGTATAGCAGATTGTGTTGATCATATATTCCTCTCAGGCAGCACTGACCCAATGATAATGTTTAGGCTTCCTTGTAGCATGATTTCAGCCTTCTGAGCACAGGAGCCAGGGCAAATGCACATGAAAATTCCCACCAGAAGGGAAAATTAACCACCTTCCAATTTGGGTTGACATCTGATTGTGGACACCTCAATGTGGCATGGTTTGAGGAACACAATTCCTTTCCCAAGAGCTGGTGGCTCACTGTTGTAAGCCAGAAGGGGACATTGATATTCTCTGCTTCCCCTGGTACATGATACATCCTCTCAGCTCAGAGTGCTCTGGGGACTGTGTTAAGTGTGTTGACTAAATCTCTATTAATTATAACATGAGTTTACACATGTCTAGCTGACAAGTAAACACTTGCTTGTATGTACCTATTTAGGTGTCTGAATCTAGAGCTGAATTTCTCCCCTGAAATGTTTAGGTAATTAAGGAAAGATAAGATATCCTAAGATTTTTCTTTTCTTGCTTTTTATGAAACACACTTGTGATTGCAGGCTGATTAAAGACCCTGCTTCCAGTTCAGCCTCTGAAATTGGTGTTGGTGAAATAGGTGCAGTGAAGTAGGCCAGATAACATCTCTCAGAAGTCACTAGTCTGCTGAGTCCTGTGTTGCCTACGGTAACTGTCCAAAAAGCCTTTGCTCATGTTGTAGTGGCTCCTGTGGAATCACCCCAGCAATGCAGCATCACCACTCAGCAAAGAGTTCATGGCTTAGATCCTCTGCTGGTACAAAACCCAGGCAGGTCCCTTCATCCAATAGGAGCTATGCTGAGGTTCATGTCATCTGAAAAGCTAGTCTTGATGATATTCAAAAACTTCCATAGCATTTTAAGCAATAAATTCATTAGATTTTTGCATAATGGTGTCCACTTTCAAGAAGCTGAGGCATGGTCTCCCATGTTTATGAGTTGATAACTCCTAATTTTAGGCCAGAAGGGGCATTAATATTCTCTGCTTCATCCCAGCAGGTGATGCAGATTGTAGAGTAGTCCTAAGTGATTCTCAGCAAAGACCCAAGAAATATTTTTACTAGTCCAACCAGTGCCTGCAGCCGAGGAGTGAGAAGAAAACATCCTCAGAGTTACAGGCACAAACCGCAGCTCCAGGGACCCGAGGTTGTTGTCTGCTGGATTTGGCAGTGTGCCCTGCACAGATATTCTGCTGTTTTAATGAAAACTGGTAACATCAGTAGGTGCAGTGGTTATTTCATAGCTGCATAAGGAACAATGGAAAGACAAGAGAGAATGGAGAGCAAATAACAGATGGTAAGGAGGTTGAAATGCTTTACGGTGCTTATGCCAGTCTTAAATGAAAAGGATAATAGTAACAGGATATTTAGTACAATCATAGCTAACAGAGCTAGGAAGCCTTCATAAAAGAGAATCTGAAAGAAAAAGGCTGCTGATTGCCTAAATCACTTGAATATTCTTAAATCAGTGAGGCTAAATGAAATTCACCCTTGACTATAGTGCTTAAAAGAACTGGTGCGAAAAGCCGTTGGTTTATAAAAGCCTCTCCTGTCTTCTAGAGACACTGCGAGGGTGCGTACTCCAGATCCCTTGGTGAAAAACACTGCCATTGTAGGTACCCGTGGTGGCATCAGAGCAAAGCTCCAGCCCTGACTGCGCATGGTTCTGCACACACAGCCACACACAGCCACACACAGCCACACACAGCCGGCTTTCTCTGGCTGTTTGAGCAAAGGGAAGAATAAGAGTAAAAAGTGACATCGGTTTTGATATGTGACATTAACTTTCAAGCTGATGAAAGGGAGCAGCATGTTCTAATTATTATTCCCCTTCAAAATAAGCCAAGAGCTCAGACAAAAGGAGAGAA